CAGGTGCGCGCAAGGTACGAAGGCGCGGGAAAGCGCGCGCGCGTAAGCGGTAATAAGAGAGACTAAGCTTAAGTGATAATATGATGCAATATAAGAAAAGAGAGATGCAAAGTGTAGACAAAATGGAGTTCTACTATGTACTGCTAAGTAAATAGTGGGTGATAACTAGTAAGTTAAAGGGAAAAAGTAGGTTAGTAATAGTATGTACTGCTGGCGCTTATATAGCGCGCCTAAGCGCGGTCAAGCGGAGCTGAAGCGCTACCGAGTAGGTATGTAAATATATATATGAGTGAGAATGCATGATAAAAATAAAGGTGGAACTATGCTAATAAAGGAAATGGAAATATACGCACTAGGGAGCTTGGTGGACAGTGGATGGATGCTTCTGGATGGCTGGCGCCATAGGGCGCGCAAGCGCGGGAACGCGCGCGCGCGTATACATCGCGAAGCGCGGGAATGGTGCGCGCATGGCGCGCGTTGCGCGGGAAAGCTGCGCGTCATATAGAGATAGCTGTGGGTAGTGCACAGAGTGACGCTACAAGTTCGTGCTATGTACTTCCTAGTGTAAAGCACCATATCACGCCATGAGAGGCATAATTCTCTACATCGCGCTGGTTCGGATTCTCTCTGTTCACCACGATGGACTAGGACGAAAGCAGTGAGGGGAGAGCTCTATGATGCGTGATGATGTGTTACACTATGAACAGAGTTTGGCTATGTGCGCGTGTCGCTGACTAAGCTATGGCTATCGCCGAAGGACCAACTGCCTCTTGTCTATGTCTCTTCCTTTGGTCTATGCCTTGGGACCCCCGGTCCAACGCGATCAGGTGCTTGGAGGGTGTGGAGGGCGCTGGAAGGGCCAAAATGCTGTGCACGGCGGTCACCAGGTGGAGGCACTTGGTCGCGTGCAAAGCAGTTATTGAAGTCACATTGTACCTTGAAGAACAAGTTGTTCTGTGCGCTTTGGAAGAAGGTAACTTGAAATATAGTGCTGACTGTTCAGAACTCGGCGGAACTGCTCATCACTGTGCGAGTCTGATGATGAATTCAAGGTGGTGTGGTGTGGTGTGGTGTGGTGAGATGAGGGCGGGGATCACAGCGAAAAATAACGACCTTTGCCCATGGCCGTTCGCGAAGAAACAAGGAGGGGCAGAATGCATTCGATGATCATCCTATTTGATGTTCAGTACTGCTGCTCGATGCGCTATCATGTTTGAGAGGCGTACAGCGACTTGAGGAAAAATTCAAACTTTCGTCTGCCGCATTTTTTGTTCTCACATCCTGATTAAGGAATGTTTCCTTATATATCCACCTCATGCCATGGCATGGTTTCTACTCTTTTCCACTCCGACCAAAATCTCCCATTAGATATTTCAATGGACAACTCATTTGAGTCAAATAAGCATTGAACCTGCTCTGTAATGTCTTCATCGTTATTTCATCATGATCCTTCAGGCTCCCTTCATGAAGGTGGTAGTATTGGGTCCGCCAACAATCGTGCAAACCGAGAACAGCGCCAACATGAGTTGTGGTCATATTTGGTAGGGAGTCCTTAAAATATTAACTTATCCGCAAGCACTGAGTAGTTTGACATAGATGTCTGTCGACGGATCAGACCAGGTGATCGATGAACAGGATCTGTTGTTCATTCAGCTCGCCGTTGACACTGTATTCGCAAGTTATGCTGCAGCGAAGAACCGCGTTTGCCAGTACACCCAACTGTTGCGGCTTCTGACGCGGGAGGAAGCTCTATGGGCAGAGAGAGTTGAGAAGGCAAAATGCGTAATGCCGGAATACCAGTCTAGATTCTCGTTCGACTTACAGCAGCCTTGAACCCTTCTACTACCTTTTCCATCTGCCATTGCTTCCTCCGAGTCAGGGTTTGGTTACATTTTACCTTGCTGTTTCGCAATGACATTCTCACACAATTCTCTCTGCTGCTGGCCTTGTTTTCTTATAACACTACTTCCAGTGTACCGCTATTGATATACAGCGCATTGATGAATCAATGACTCCTCGAGGCCTTGCCCGCTGTAGAAACAACAATACTGAGAGGAACAAAGAAATGCTCCTGACTGTATCTAAAAAGTTGTAGGTCGTGCGTTGCCTAGTCTGCGATACTTGAGATGGCAAGTGCATTCGACCCTAAAGGGGAAGCAGGTGCAGCGGAGATCTAGAGGTACGCGCTTCAGCGAAGCGCGAGAAAGCGCAGGTGCGCGCAAGGTACGAAGGCGCGGGAAAGCGCGCGCGTGTAAGCGGAAATAAGAGAGACTAAACTTATGTGAAGATATAAGCAAGATAAAGGATGTGAGATGTGTTGTGCTAATGAATAGATTTCTACTGCGACTTTCTAAGTAGTAAGTACTAGGTAAAGTTGGGTGAAAAGTAAGGTAAATAATAGTATGTACTGCTGGCGCTTATATAGCGCGCCTAAGCGCGCTCATGCGGAGCCGAAGCGCTACCGAGTAGGTATGTAAAAATATATATGAGTGAGAAACTATGATAAAAATAAAGGTGGAACTATGCTAATAAAGGAAATGGAAATATACGCACTAGGGAGCTTGGTGGACAGTGGATGGATGCATCTGGATGGCTGGCGCTATAGGGCGCGCAAGCGCGGGAACGCGCGCGCGCGTATACATCGTGAAGCGCGGGAATGGTGCGCGCATGGCGCGCGTTGCGCGGGAAAGCTGCGCGTCATATAGGAATCACTGTGGATGGTACACAGAGTGATGCTGCGAGTTGGTGCTGTATACTCCCTAGTGTAAAGCGCCATATCACACTATGAGATGCACGAGTCTCTACACCGCGCTCGTCATTCATGTCGCGTGAAGCTTGAAATTTATTGGACGCCGGGCGATCAAGCATTGAACAAGTATAACAAGATGCCTGACTGAAGATATTGATACATATCACAGACAATGTCAGTTTACTGCTGAAGGTCATAATGTCTGAGGGCTCGACTAGTCCCTAGTCATGCTCTATTCTGAGCCTCCACATACATTGCTTAGTCTTTAGTCAAACTACATAAAAAATACAGAACGCACCTAATAAATATATATAACACTTACATAGGTTTGATCGACTGAATCATTTCGGAAACTCGTTGCATGCGCTCAGCGGCTCATTGTACTGGCCCTTGATTGATGAGACTTCTCAAGCTCAAAGTTTGATGCATTATCGTCACTTGAAATGCGAAGTTCCCTTGGAGGGACTTTTCGAGCTCTAATTTGAGAGATTAACGTTAACTGCTTGTAGGTTGCTCGGACAGTCAAACGGAAAAAACAGCACTCTGATCTTGTCCTATTAGTGTATATAGTTCCGTTGCATTGGAAATTAATTATGAGTGCTGATCTGTTTCCACGAGACATGCTGCGTGCCGTTGGTACTATCCCTTCCACTGCAATCGGCACCCCACAGAAGTCGGCACTTTCACAAAACTCGTATTTCTAGCTACTTAAACACAAAATTCTTAACATCTGTATCATTCTCTCTCTAATACAACTCATTACGAGGTTGAACGACCACGATTAAAGCAGAATTGAGTGAGATAGTCGAAAGTGCCGAAGTCATGCAGAAATGTCACCTGCCGATACATGCCATGACGGAGTTTCAAATTGCACCCCACTTTGGAAGTGCCGACTGGTGCAGCGCTGTGCATCCGCATTCGCAAGTTTAAGTTAAGGTAGGTGTCGTGCGGATTCTACATACCTCATGTGATAAATGTGATGAAAATGTGACAATATACAAAAATTGTAATATCATTTGATTGGGAGCTTTATGCATCAAACAGCTAGTCAGTTACATTGGTAATAATACTGCGGTCATTTTCTGTTAATCAGAATCAATAGAAATTGAGTAGAACATTTGTTATTCAAAATATCAGAAACAGAGTGCAAGGTCAATGTATGTGTTTGATACTCCGATGTGCAGTGCCATGTTGCCGACACGGCGACACTACCCTTGCACTATGGGCAACAAAACACTCGGGCAGAAGCGCTCGAGAGACAATCTAGTATTAGCACGAGCATCTAAAAAAAGGCAAAAGACTTCAGTTCCGTGTTCTGTGTCAGAGAATGATGAAGGAGTTTGATGAGCGCTGACCCCTTGCCAACTTATCAGTTTGACTGGTTATACAACGAGCAACACATTATTTTGCTTACTACTCATATACTACTTATACATTTGGCTAACTATCTACACCAGCAGCACATATTTTATCTTTGAGCTTGATATACACAATACCTTTTTTGTTTATTCTTGCTCGTGCACGTTCAGCATCGCTCGGCAGATGCTTGCACACTTATCTGCACAGCGTCACAGTTAGTCACAATCACGTGAGGTACGTAGAATCCGCACGACTCCTACCTTAGCAGCGGTAGACGAGGAAAGCTGCGAGCTTCGTCAGACCCGACATATGAGCCACGCATTCAGGTTTCAATTCAGAGAATTTCAAATGGGTTATACTGCAGCAAAAGAACAGAATGTGAGTCATGTTTCTGTCATGTTACAATGCACATGGTCTCCCTATATATCCACCTCGATTTTACAACTACGGCACTAATAACAGTCGCCCTCGTACTTAGGTATATCTACTATTCAATACTATACTTGCTCATTCGAACGAATACTAATTGACCTTGCCCACTTGCTTGACTGCCGAACTGACTTTAAAATTGGCCTACATGACATATCATGACTCACAGTGACATTTGCGTGACTGCCGACTTCTGTGGGGTGCTGATTGCAGTGGAAGGGATACATCTGCAAAACGACTGAAATGAACGCTTAACTTACGCGCGTTACGAACACTTACAGACGCTTACGACTTCAGTAGCGAAGTCATGCGATTGGTGGAGATGTCTGAACGCCAATATTACTCACCACATCGGGCTGATAAAACATAAACCAATTTATCTTTTGTTGATAAGATGTGATAGGCTCACAGATACAATACGATGAATGCGATAGCAATTGCTACATATTGATTAAGCTACTGTCTATACAAACTCGGTACTGAACATATGATAACTCTCCTTGTCCGCAAAGCTATTCAGAAAGAAACGTTCATAGTGTTCCAAACAAGTCGCAGAGGACACGCCGTTAGCCACTGCCTTGCCATAAACTGGAATTAATTCAACTGCATGTGTCACATCTGTCACTCGAACGACAGCCCCTTCCCTACAGTGGTTACCGTTTTCGTCCTGCGTGTATGCGCGCTCCACGGTCCACATCGCGAGCTCGGGACGATCATCAGGGCTGGAAATGAAGCGGAAAAATTGGATGTAGAGCAGTGGGTCGGAGAGATACGACGGTAGTTCCAGGTTGGAACCTCGTCGAACGATTGGTTGAAAAATGAGTCGAACCTGTGCGATATAACTCGCTGTACATGATATCAGTAGGGCTACAACATAAGCACATGAAATAGACATACTCATTTTGCCGTTAGTGCCCATGGCGTCAATGAGAACAGTATCACAATTTCCCAAGGGGAAATCATCGCTTGGTGGGTATGCTTGCACCACCCGACTTGGCATGATGACTCGCGGCTGGAAGGCCGAGTGAAGCTGCAATCGAAACTTGTGCCATACCTGGAAACGCCCATATTTGGGGTCCCAGCGGGAATGTTCACCACTGGAAACCAAGGAACGACAAATGAAGTTGGCGAGCGCACGATCAAAGTCGAGGACTGCATATTTCCTGCGTATTTCAGACGGTGAGAGTGATTTGTAATCAGGTGCGACATTGAGTTGAAAAGCGGTGAGCGCATCCTCAGAGAGAATACCTTTGAGGAAGTGATTACGGACTGGTCGGGGACCATGGATTGACCTGACTTTGTCAGGAAGAACTCGGGAAACCCAGGAGAGTGCAGGATTGGTAGTTGTGATATCTTCATCTTCGGCATGTATGGCATTAACCAGTGATGCCCCGCGAGAAGTCAGCAGCGTGTACAGGCCGAACATTTCCATAGATTCTTGGCGATTAAGAATCCGCACGCACTGCTCCATAAAATCTTTGATTTGTCGGGACGTCTGCGGGAAAAGGTCCTTGCAATGTGTGATAAGTAGCCACTCCGTCACGTCAGCAGAGAACTGCATCAAAGTGCCCAATTTCTTAATCGTACCATCGAAGCTCTGCAGAAGCTCGAGTTTGGGGATGAAAAAATCCTCTTTGATACCCTTCTTCCCCTTCCTTGCCTCGGCCTGGACAATAGTGTCCTTGAAAGAGTGGAAATCTGAAAGCGCCTGAACCATTGACTGAAGTGATTGAGGTGAGTGAACCGGATTCTGTGCAAGGTAAAAGAACTCCACAAGGGCACGAATTGCACGAACGAATCTGGGTGGAACGGCCCCTGCGATCGATGCAACGATAGTGCGTTGGATGTCTCTATGCTCACGGCCTGTCATCTGATTAACGTGAGTGATACCTTTCGTAAAGTGGCGCGTTCTGACTCGCTTGTGCTGCACCATGAAGCGAGTATCAAGCTCATAATGTCCTACAATTTCTTTGATCCATTTCAGTGGATGATCCGCGAAGAATTTATGGCAAGTGTGCAGCACTTCGCCGGCAAGAAAAACGGACGGACATGCAAACATCCAATCGCGCCAGTGTGGCATATGAACACCAGATAGATTAATGGCTTTGGCCGCTTTCTGGAACTTGTTGAGATCCCAGGGATCAACTGTTCGGGATATCTCCACAATGAGTTGCAATGTGTGCTTCCCGGTACGAGGGGGGTGGAGAATTCCATCGCCAAAATCCGCTTGTGTTGCCATAGTCAACGGGGATGAGTTTTTGCTGACTGCAGCGATCATAGTAGCCTCTGGTAGGTCGCACACATGAGCGACGAGCGGCGTAAACACATGACGAATGTAACGGGAAGGATCGGGCATAAAGCAGCCATCCTTCGCTGCGGCCTTGAGGTTGGCACAAACAAGGTCCATCTCAATTCCTCCGGTAAGTCGCGTTACGGGAGTTTTGTCGGATCCTAAGATTATCGGGACTTGAGTCGCACCCAACGGGAGATGGTCCTAGAAATTACAATCGGTGAGGATTATATTAATAACAGGGCGACCAAACCTGAATTTTCCATGCCATATCGGCACTCATGTAGTCTCCATATTCACGCTTATTTTCGACGTTAGTGACGTGAGGGTGAAAGGTCATGTGGTTTGCAAAAGTTGGGTCACTGAATAGTTGCTTGACAACCTCCAGTGCATCGCGCCAAACAAGCTCCACGGGATGGACAGTCTTATAGCCTTTAAATTCTATTTTAGAGACTTTCCACAGGGCAAAAGAAGGCAGTGAGTCCATCCAGTCCAGGAGGCAATCTTTTGTGGTAAAAGATGGTTTTGCGCGATCCGGAGAGTCAAACTGTGAAAGCAAGAGTTAGGAGTACAGCTTAGATTGATATTCGTCACATTTACCCATCTTAACTTCAAAAATTTGGTTATCTGAGTTTGAGTAAGGTTTTCCACCAAAAACTTCCCTAATTCCCATTCACCTTCATCATGGAAGGGGTAATAAGGATTTATCTTCTGTCGATATGCATATTGATCATCTTCTAACTTATCCAGCATATTTTTACCGACACCATAGACGTACCCAGATTGCGGGTAACACGTACCAGTGACAGGTATCCGGCCATTGAATACAGAAGGGACGGGTAACGTTTGTGGCCGTGCGTCGAATGGCCAACAAGTAGATGGAGAGTTGAAATGTGAGATAAGCACCTCGATGGATGGATAGTCCCCCAGTTTGCAGTTGGGACATAGCCTGCCAATTTGAGGTATGTACGGTATCATGAAGTGAGCAACAGAAGTACTTACATTGTAGCGCAGACTTGGCTTAGACTTTAGCTGGTGAGTGAGTGCACCTGAAAAAACTAAAGTCATTCAAAGTCCGAATACCTCATGTTTCGCAGCGCACAGTCATCGCGCTAGGCCAATGGAACTTGCGTCTTCATCACCGGTCTCATCTCCTGCTCGACTAAGCAGTCCCACTTTCACCAGCACTACATCAAGCAGTGCGACCCGTGTAGAATTAACTCCCTTGGAGTTTTATAAGAAGGTTGACTACCCTGAGTCACCCCATATAATGGCCACTGAGCTCTTATCTGGCTCTGACTGTTTACTTTCCCCCAAGATGTCCCCCTATCCTCCAGGTTCTCCAAACTGTCGCTTTTCCCCGGTGGAAGAGCTTCCGTACCTTCCTGATGTAAAGGAAAGCCTGTTGTATCAGCCTGACAGTTTCCAGTCACAAAGGTCACTTTCTCGGGCAGCTTACTTGCGTGAGAAGCCATCCAAGAGGCATGTACCATACCCTCCCAGGCCAAGTCCACTGGAGCTTCGGTTTGCAAACCGCGTGACAGGGCGAGTACGCCAACCTGACTTTACAGCTGAACAACTGCAAGAGGTATTTGTCTTTTCATTGCTTTGTTATACAAGTTCTCCGGTTCTCACATAGTCTATGTTCAAAAGCACGAGGATGCAATATCCAGTGGCCTCTCACAGATGAGCTTTGGTACATTGTACAAAGTGTTCAAGGCAGTACTTGCTGGTTGTGAGGCTGCTCGCCATGAAGTAGCCACATCGTTATGGCAGGTTGAAGCCTCAGAGCGCATGAGCGCATTCAATCAGGCGCTTCACCAGGAGAACAAAACCCGGCTTTTTTTGAAGGACGAACAGCTGAAGAAGATTAGGAACATTTTTTCCGAGCGTGACCACACGGAAATCGACGATGATACGAATTACAATCAAGCCGTCTACAATGATGAATGCGAGATACTTCGCGCCATCACCGCCCAAGCAGAGATAATCTCAAACCACCTGGGCTCCAGCGCCAGACGTGAATTATTGGCATCTACCAGCGAAACTACCTACCTCCCTCGTTTTGTTGGTACTCTGAAAAATAAGGACAGTATCACACGTGCGCTGGGGGGTGGTTGTACGGAGGCCGGTGTCATCACCGATACCGACACCGATACCGACACCGATACGGATTCCGGCGAAGATGATGCTTCAGTCGGGCAGCCCGGCCAGCAGGACTGATGCAGCGTGTAATTGTGACCATCAATGGTATGTGACCGCCAAGCCATTCACAACACTCACACTGATCATTATCAATTCAGTCATTGTGTTAATAGATTGTTATCAACTGGTACCGCCTTGCTTCGACCATTCAATAACGTGCTTCGCCCGCCCCAGCCGTTCATATATGTCTTCCTGCCGTTCATAAATCACCTTATCGGACACGCCCCTCCCCTCTTTTTACACTTCGTTAGTAAATCGCCTTGCTTTGTTTGTAAATCACCTTATCAGCCTGCCACGCGTTCCCGGTTTGTAAAGATCGTGTAAAGTCTGTGTCTCTTTCCCCCCTATGTACTATTACATCAACTCGCAGTTTAAATGCATGTGTGCGCTCTCACATCTCTCAGATCCCCTCCACCCTTGAATGCCTAGTGAGCATAACTCTCAGCGACAGCGAAAAACTAAGGCCAAAGTCCCGAAGCCACCGCAAGGTTCTGGCCTCAATCCATCGGGCGAACCAGCAACTGACCAACTCTATATCCCCACTGAACAGCCACAGATGTCCTCTTTCGACTTCGATGCCCATGCGGCCCCTGGAGGTTGGCAGGGCAGTAACAACGATAGCGCACTTCCCACCCCAATGCCAAGTAGCAGCTGTAAGTCCGACTCATCACACTTTCGTTGACTGATCGCTCATCATTCTGCAGCCCTGCATAGCTGGAGCATGCAGGGCGCCAACACCGATAGTCGCTTATCTTACGGCCATTCCTACGACACTTTGTCTTTGGAGCACGCCGGCACCGACTTCGATGACGATCACCCCCCTTACAACTCCAACCCTCAATTTTATGACACTGCGTCCATGGAAGCACCCTCCCAGGGCGCTTCCTTCAACTACCTATCTCACGGCTCCTACCACAATCAGACGGCGGGCCCCTCTTACAATACTGCGTCCATGGAAGCGCCCTCCCAGGGCGCTTACCCACCTCAAGGATCCTCTCAAGGCACTGCCGCCGGCACAAGTGCAACTGATGCGACGCCCATACAACAAGGCGACATTCCACGCACGGATGTGATGCATGTAAGTAAGTTTGTTTTTCTTCAATCAATTTCACGCTAATTTTTATTATTCAGACGGTGGGCCCGGCAAGGGAGCCAAAGCGGCGAGGCCAACAATGAGCTATGCCACCTACACCACGCTTGATCCCCTACCCAGCCACGCGCCCACAAGGCGCTTCCGAATCCGCTCCCACAGCCTCAGCCTCAGTCTCAGCCTCAGCCTCAGCCTCAGCCTCCACCTCGCAACCTATGTCCTCAATGTCTGACCTCATCCAACTAACAGACGACATCATCGGCCAGACCATGAAAACGGCAACGCGGCTGGTCACGCGCGAGCTATTCAAGGAGCAAGCGATGGCGATCAACAAAGCCGCCAAGAAGATAATGCTGAATCGAGTCATCCGGGACTCCGTCCCACGTTGTTTTGGACCTAATGGTAAGTTTTTATCTCAATGATCATTAGCATCACGCTGACCCTTTATTAGCGACATTTCAGGAATTCATTACTAACAAACATCGCAAAGAAGTCGCGAATGCGCTGTCGTCCACGCGCGGGAAGCTCGTCGAATTCGCGCGGGACGGCGTCTTCCACGCGTACAGACTTTTCCCTCCGCGGTACAGTAACACGCCTGCTGTCGTCTTTCGCAAACGCATGATCGAAAAGATCACGCATGATGCGGACGGACTCGTTTTCATGCATATCTACACTTTTGACCAAGTGAGTTTTCGTTCTCGTTTGCGGATAGCCTAACCCCTCTTTTTTTTCAGAATGGACGCGTCAAAATCAAGGCGAAGTTTCAAACTTCTTCATCATGGCCAACGTGATCCGCTTCACTTGGTCTCACTTACGCCATGAGTTTCTCGGCGAGACGGAAGAAGAACAGCTCAAACGTTTGAAGGTGATCTGGGCGCTCGCCGGCGCAGCGACGTTCTGCGGCCTAGATGAGCAGCTTGAGGATGAGTTGAAGGTTGAGTCTTTCGGGGAGATGGTCGTCAATCATAAATTCCTTTCTATTCTAGCCGCCATCAACAACCTCACTGGGGACGAGCAAGTAGAATTCGACGACTTTTTACGGTACGTGTTGGTAGTTGGACCCTCACAAGCGCGCTCGTAAATACGCATCTCTACTACTACTATGTTTTGATTCTTTCGATTGTACTACTACTAGTATGACTGATAATCTTATGTCGCGTCGATAAACCTTAGATCTCGCATCTAAATGTACTCAGGGTTCAAACATAACCAAAACCAGGCATTTACGAACCAAATTTCGTGCTAACCAAAACGGTAAATCTCGCAAGCGTTTTAGACGACATTTTCACCAAGTCCAATTTTTAGATGTAGTATTGGCCGAGAACCCTGCATGGGCAACAATCAAATTCTCACGGAGCTGCCTTGACGAGTCGACGACGATATATATTCAACATCTCACACACATCGGGGTGAACGATATTTAAAAGAGGTTTATATGTTGTACAAAATGTGAAGACAATATTTAATATTTAAACTAACATAAAGATGGGTGCACGACTTCAAATTTTGGTGGTGTTTTGTGTGTAATCCAAAATATCAAATATTCACAACCATATTCCCACAGACAATATGTCAACAAACATAAGAAATATAGTCAGATTTTTCATGTCTGCTTCAACTTAAAGTTCAATTTCCATGTAAAACTTTGGAGAAAACTTGAAGTTTTACAGATGACATGACATTAAAACTCGATTTAAATGTCAAGCTTTGGCAAAACTTCAAGTTTTCTCCAAAGTTTTATGTAAGAATCAAACTTTAAATTGAAGCAGACATGGAAAATCTGATTATATTTATTATATTTGTTGACATATTGTCTGTGGGAATATGGTTGTGAATATTTGATATTTTGGATGACACACAAAACACCACCAAAATTTGAAGTCGTGCACCCATCTTTATGTTAGTTTAAATATCAAATATTGTTTTCACATTTTGTACAACATATAAACCTCTTTTAAATATCGTTCACCCCAATGTGACAGGCAACCTTAAGCTTGAGCGTGACGCCCAACTACATATCATATCAGCAACCGAATATAAATAACTTGTTTATTCCTACTTTATGTGCAATGTCCCTGAAATTGTTCGGGCCGAACAATACGCTATCTCATCATGGTCATACAATTACATCAAAGGAAGACAGAGAAAATCAACGAGCAAGAGAGCTATTCGCACGCATACGTTCTCCAGCGTAATATATCCAGATGGGGAATGGTATACCGATGACGATGGCAAGACCTGCAAGAAGGGAGTTGCCTGGCCCATAATCGAGTGCTGCGAACATTTGTTGTCCAAAGAGAGGGAATGCGAAGCCAAATAGTGAACGTAACGTCTGATGATATGTTCAGAGGGTGCCGACAAGGTTTAGGGTATGCGCAACTCACAGAAGCTGCTGCGGTTGCACTTGCAGCATAGGTAAACGTATCTACGAGGTATAGTTGAATAGGAAGGCTTCAAACTTGAGGTTAGCTACGAATGGTGATCTGATACGAGGTACACCCACAAAGTTGTCATTAGTCCGAACGAAAAGAAGGCGGTACCGATGATGGGCATAATGAAGTGGATCTGGGCTTGTGCAGACCAGCCATACCAACTAAACGTAGGTTAGAGTTGGAACAACAAAAGTAGAGTGTATGCATATCTCACAATAGTCCCACTGGGGCGAACAACGAACCAAATATCAGAGCGGGTATGCGCATCTCTGGCGTACCAATTCCTCCATTTTTTGCAGCCAACTACATCATGATAAGATACACTTTAACCAATGCGGCAGAAGTAAAGGCAGTCTTGACGTACGTGCGTGTACATCTTGTCGGAAAGTTTGGCACCGAAGATGGCGGCGCTTATGAATCCAACGCCAAGCCCAATGTATGCCAGACCTCCGATTCCGATATTGAAGTGGTATACTTCCGAAAAGAGGGCTAGGTGTATGTCTTTAGTGTTCGTTTCCGTGTTACTGAGCGAATATGATCTTACTTGGGAACGTGGAAAACATCAAGTAGTAGATGCCTGACAGATGATTTCAGCCCATAACTTGATGTAGGATGCAAAGCACTCACCATAAATCCTAAATGAATGGTATCAGTTAGCTGCGTGATATAGAATAAAACTTACAGAGCAACGTATAAGCTGAGGATGAAGCATATAAAACTCCGGGTCAAAAGTATGACGGGTCGTTTGAGGTTGATCCATAAGTAAACCCATTTGTTCATCTGGAGTGCGGTAAGGGAAGGATGTCCTTCAGGTATCTTTTCGAGATCCGTAGTTATTTCGTCACGACGAAGCCTGATGACTGGTGCATAGGATTCTTTTAGAAAAGCAATGCCGATCACTGCTGCGACACCACATATCGCGGCGACGACATAGAAAACATATTGTATGCCGAGCGACTCTGCGATGAAGCCTCCTATGACGGGCCCGACAACAGGGCCTGGCGAAGTATGAACTTGCGTCAAGATGGTAGACAGTGAAACGCACCTATCAAGGGTCCGACATAGCATAGCGCCATAGCGGAGGCACGTTCGCGTTCGGAGAAGAGGTCGCTAACGACACCTCCGCCACATGCGATGGGTGCACTCCCCGCAAAACCAGCTTTTCAAAGAATAAGTGAACTTGTAATAGTAGTGGTTCCATAACGTACCTAGAAACCGAAAGGCGAGGAAAGCTGAAGTGTTGGGTGCAAAAGCACAGCCAAGATTAAACACGAGGAAGGAGAGGTTCGATAAGTGGAGGATCTTGAACTATTCAGGCAAACTGTTTCACCGGTCTTAAAGAGGAAGACGCACCCACACACGACCATATACTTCAGACAAGGGTGCGGCAAATAAAGGACCGATGGCCAGTGACAGAATGAAGATGCTGAGAGTCAACGCTGTGACTGTTGGATCGGTTATACCATATTTTATAGCCACATCTGGCAATCCGGGTGCCATGATAGAACTTGCTAATGGAGTCACAAAAGTGTAGAGTGCAAGCTGAGCGAAAATTGAGCCTCATGGTTAGATATCCAATTCTGATGAAAGAACTGACAACTGTAGTGGCTGTCCATTTCCTTGCCGGAGACCAATTTCTGGGGTTGACGGGGTCGTCTTGCCATTCATCATTTGACTGTTGAAGATAATCCGGAATTTTATCATCGAGATTTTCGTCGTTAATCGCGGAGGCGCTGTGGAGCTGAGGAAGACGAGGTTCGCCTACCTCATCTCGATTGGGTACGCGAGTATTGGAGTTCTCAATATATACCGTTTGAGGAGGAGAGGCCGACATTGACCGGCGCTGTAAATGAGAGGAGCTTGGACGAGGGGGAGATAAGTCGTGTTCCGAAACAGACTGTTAATTAAATAGGTAGTGGGTGACTGAGCAAGTATTACACAGTGCTGTATAATTATACTTTGATGACGGGCGCGGCGATCGGATCAGGACCTGATCCCCGCTCCATTACTCGAGCCAATTGTACGATTTCGTCATAACGCCGTCTGTCATCGTGGTCCTGCCGGGAGCAAACTATACGCAGGTAGGTCAGCTGTTTTCAATATCATTGTGGCAATGATGAGCTCACCATCGCACATCTTGCACGCTGTCCCCGTACGGTGGCTTGTCACCCCACAGGTGCATTGTACTAGGCAAACCTTTACACTGACGAAGTTTGGAACTGAAGACAACAAAGCCAATTTAGTCCGTGAGACGTATTTGAATTTCGAATTCATACTTTATAAGTAAATAGGCTCTTCTGACCGCTGCGCTCGGTGGACGCCGCCGGTGGCTTCAAACTCCGCAACAGCTGAGCGCTGATCTATTGACTTCTACAGACATCGCTGTCTCTATAGGCAGCCCACCAGAAACTTACCAACAACCAAACCGTCCAAAATGTCCAGAGACATCCTGCACTTCTGAGACTGGCAGAACTCATGACTATACTTAGACTTCAGAAATGAGTGATGTCTCGGATTCAAGTTGAGGTTCTAGTACATAGAAGTGAACGTTCTTGCCTTTCAGTGCGTACTCTATCGAGACTAGCATAGGAGTGACTAGACCAATACTAGTGGCAGCTCGCCGCGCACGCCGTGGATCCTTCATCAGGCTACTCCGTCCAGGCCAAAATGGTGCACTTCTACTCCCTCCACCCTGCTCAACCCAAACTCGGGGCACTTGTTAGCGTCCAGCATTGTGGAGGCGGCGCTCTCACTAATTCCCCGCTACACACGAAACCCATGGTAGGGCGCCTCCCTGTCCTTCACCTGTCAACTTTTCAACCTCCGAGTGGGATTTAGTGAAAACAATGATCAACAGGTGCCTACACTTCCATTGTTGCAGGGAGTACAACCATATTTATTCTAGTCATTGTACGAAAACCAGAGGAAAAACTGTCGCATGCTAGATCCAGCTCATTAGGACTCCATGCGATGACAGTAGATGACGAGCTCACCCAATGGCACTGTATGGTATCTCGAGATCAGCCCAGACACGGCGGGCACTGAAAGGCGAACGGGATGCAATGTTGACACTGTAACCGGATTCGCTAAACCCCCGGGTCCCAGGTCCCAAGTCCCCACTAGGTCCCGACCTGAATACCACCCCCTGAAGACAGCGCGATGTCAGCGGCGGGCCAGAAGATTTACCTCATTATCTCACGCCCGAGCTTACTAAAGCTATCTGAGCTGACGTAGGCTAGGTTGCTTAAGCCATGGTGCGGGCCGGTGCAACCGACAGCAGAGATACTGACACCAGCATGGTAGAGAGAAGTCAAGCAGCTGAGAACCTCGGCAAATGTGGCCAAGAAACGCGGCATGAAGAGGGTCAGGAGGACTCAGGTTATATCCACTGTACTGTCCATGCCGCGGGCAATGTCTGCGAAGGTCAGCAATTTAATTGGATGATCATCTCTTGCATGTTCGCAGCGTCCTTAATCTGTGGATCTTGGTGCACGTCAAACGTTTCCCTCAAAACCTGGGCGTGTTCAAGGTCGCTTAGGAGACAGATGGGAGCGTGGTGAAATCAAGACATACCTGTGGTGTCTGGTGAGGACTCACTCTCTAGCTCAAAGAACAAGAACCACCGTGTGTCGTCGGGCAGTTAAGATAA